AAGCTTTTCAAGGGAAACTATTATGTTTAGTATGTCACCTATGCACGCAACTAATAAGTCAATATTGACTTATTAAATTTGCGAGAACGGGTTGTGTAATTATGTGTTAACTGGTTGTTGACTGTTGGTCTTGACTTTTTGATGTGTAGTGCCTCGCTGATGTCCAGTCTTCTGCTGTCGTTATACCTGTCGAGTATTTCAATGTTGCTTGTTAGAATATGTCTGGTGATGGTCTGGTTGTGTGAGGAGATTCAATGCTCTTTGATGGAGCCCTGTTGCTTGTGCATTGTTAATCGCCTAGAGAAAGACGTTGTTGTCTTGCCTATATACATATACATGGGTCTGACAGTCCCCAAGTGGGCATGTGAAGCCATAGACGACGTTGGTCTCTTTTAAGGCGTTCTGTTTGGTGTTTGGGGAGTTCTTCATAAGGAGTTTGGCGGTCTTCTTGTTTTTGTAGTAAATTGTTAATTGCATCTTCTGATTGGTGTCTTTGGGGACATCGTTCCTATTAATATTTTTCAGAACTCTTTCCTCCGTTCAAGCCGTGGAAAAGAAGTTCCTGTACGCACCCCCGTACAACTAAATTATTAAACATGAGGAAGGAACTGAATATTTCATGTGTAAGTGATCGTATCACTGAAATTAATGCTTTAATTTGTATCAAGATGCTTAGGCTAACCCACCCTAACCCCTGCACGGAAGCCCTCCAAGCCTTCTTCCTTGAAGGTCAGCATCCCTCCAAATGGATTACCGTAACTGCCAATGTGCTCAGAATGTATAACTTTCATCACCCCTACCAAGAGAGACAACAACAACACTTTCTTGCCCCATGGGAGATCACTCCTTTCCAAATTACTGTCCCCCCTTTCCCACCCAAGACGCTGATTAATGAACAGGCTTTGCTTCGACAAGAAGCAAAGTACAATGCCTTAAGCCAAACTGATACTTTAGTTAGAGAGCGCTCCCTTTCCCAGATTATTTACACTGATGGATCCTTGCATCAGTCCCATGGTGCAGGTGGAAGTGCAGTTGTTGTGACAGGGAGAGATGGTTCCTTCTCCCATGAGTGTGGAGCGCGTCTCAGTAACTGGGCCTCCACTCTTCAAACAGAATTGGTTGCCATAATCCTTGCACTCGAGCGCGTATATGAATCCAAAGTTGACACGCTAATTGTAAGTGACTCCTTGTCATCCTTGACTGCCCTCAGCTCCCTAGGGCATAACTGTGACGTGCTTATCTCTGAAACTAGACACAGATATAGTGAAATAATCAATGATGGAGTCAGAGTTTGTCTCCTGTGGATTCCTTCTCATATTGGTCTCCGAATGCATGATAGAACTGCTGAGCTAGCCAAGACTTTTGCTCGTAAAGAGGGAATTGATTACCAACTTGGACTGCCTTTGAGCAGCCTGAGGGCAGCAATATCCCAGGAACATCAACTAAATTTCGGAGACTTGAGGCAAAGTGAAATTCACACCAGTTACTCCATCTATCATCATTCTATTATGCAGGAAGAACCGCACGTCTATGGGTCATCCAGTAAGGTTAGCAGACTTCTAGATGTTACCACTGCTAGGCTTAGGCTCGGCTACAAGTACCTCTGGGAATTTGTAACATCTGCTGATGTAGATTTGACTAAATGTAAACTCTGTCATAATGCCTTATGAACAATGCCTTAAGCACGCATAGACGAGATAAAGCACCTAAATTATTGGGATCGTCTCAAAGCTCTCCAAATGTACTCACTAGAAAGGAGACGAGAGAGATACCAAATAATATACACATGGAAAATACTAGAGGGACAGATCCCAAATCTGCACAGTAAAATAACAACGTACTGGAGTGAACGACATGGAAGAAAATGCAGAATAGAACCAGTGAAGAGCAGAGGTGCCATGGGCACAATCAGAGAACACTGTATGAACATCAGAGGTCCACGGTTGTTCAACGTCCTACCAGCGAGCATCAGAAATATTACAGGAACAACCGTGGACATCTTCAAGAGGAAACTAGATTGTTTCCTTCAAGGAGTGCCGGACCAACCGGGCTGTGGTGGGTATGTGGGCCTGCGAGCCGCTCCAAGCAACAGCCTGGTGGACCAAACTCTCACAAGTCAAGTCTGGCCTCGGGCCGGGCTTGGGGAGTAGAAGAACTCCCAGAACCCCATCAACCAGGTATCAGCAGAACTATTCGCATACTTTGCGTCATTATATAATGGAATGTGAAAAAATCGCGAAATTTAGAGATAACACCATCAATAGTGTCCAAGAAATGTGTAAGTACTTCATTCATAATGATGTGCTGCCCGAAATCTTAGCGAAGTATCCAAAATTTGCTTACTGTAGGTAATGCATGCACATGACTGTAAAGCTGCCGCCCAGTTGGGTGGGTGTGGAGCACATGACTGTAAAACTGCCGCCCAGTTGGGTGGGTGTGGAGCACATGACTGTAAAGCTGCCGCCCAGTTGGGTGGGTGTGGAGCACATGACTGTAAAGCTGCCGCCCAGTTGGGTGGGTGTGGAGCACATGACTGTAAGGCTGCCGCCCAGTTGGGTGGGTGTGGAGCACATGACTGTAAAGCTGCCGCCCAGTTGGGTGGGTGTGGAGCACATGACTGTAAAGCTGCCGCCCAGTTGGGTGGGTGTGGAGCACATGACTGTAAGGCTGCCGCCCAGTTGGGTGGGTGTGGAGCACATGACTGTAAAGCTGCCGCCCAGTTGGGTGGGTGTGCAGCAAGACTAGAAACTGTGTGACTCACCATAGATGTAAAGTGCCTTGTATAGTGACTGTTGTGACCCTCTTGTTGATCACTTGTGACAAAAGATTACTGATGTGTGTATTTGTGTGGGTGATTAAATATGTATGTGTATGTATATATGTATACGTATATATATATATGTACTTGTATGTATGAGAATGTGTACATGTATATATAACATTAATAATTTTGTAACTAGCGCCAAAAATTGTTATTTGCTTTGCTAAACGAACTAGAGGGTTCAGTTCCTGAACCGATTATGTGCCTCTGTAATCCTTTACACCACCGCCCACGGGATGGGTATGGGGTGCATAATAAAAAAAGAAATTGTAATCTGTAAAACAACCTAATAGGAGGTACAGGTGTTGTGTTGGTTGATTCTTCCGAGATCCAGACTCTTCTGGAGGTACACAACACCTATACCTCCTATTAGATTGTTAGGAATGATACTAGGAATGTTGTAACATCCATTATAAACATTATTAATGCAAAGAACAAGAGTTTCAGAGTCTCATTTGTATGGATGCCATCTCACACAGGTGTTGCCCCAGCATGATGACACAGACAAGGCAACTAAACTGCATGTGATAAGCCTAAAATTCAGTTGGATATGGGCATTCCAATCTCTGCTGTAAATGCCGCAATATTTCAGGAAATTAGAGAAGGCAAAAGAGCAGTTACTGACACTCAAAGGCCAAATAGCACGAGTATAAAGAACAAATAGCACGAGTATAAAGAACTATGACATGTTTAGAACGGAGAACTATATGTGTGGGCAGCATAAAACATCCACTAGACAGTGTGACATGGTAATTACCAGAATTAGGCTGGGATATCAATATCTATGGCAGGTGGCTGCAGGTAATGAATGCCCCAAATGATGAACATTCCAATTGTAAACTATGTGAACAAGAGCTGGGACATTCCAACACCATATCTGTGATTGCCTTGTTATCAGTGACTTAAGGCCAAATGGTATGAGGTATTTTGAGCTCTGTAATTACTTCATACACTCCGGAATATTGGAAGATATTCTTGTGTTTTTCAAAAATTTTGCTAGTGGAGGCTAATCAGTCTTACATTTCATGTTCTCTCCTGATTCCACGTATGACTGACCGTCCTGTGAGGTGAGGATGTTGGAGGAACTTGTAGCTGGTTTTTTATCTACACTGTGTGGTCTTTCATACAGAATAGGGTAGCTGTGTATTTGCATACATTGCTGTGTATATCTAAGCTTGTTAAAAAAAGACATTATTTGAGAAGAATCTTTTATAAACTGGTAAAAATAATTATAATATAATATTTCCACGATTCAGTGCTTAGCTCTTATGAAAATCGTAAAGTTATTATTATAGTCAAAGTTAATTTATTTTTGGATTGAGGCAGGTATTTTCTCCAATGATTCCATGAATGATTACCTATCCTGTGATATGGGAATATTAGATGAACTTACAGCTATTTTTTTTATCTACGCTGTGTAATCTTTCATATAGAATAGGGTAGCAGCACATTGCTGTGTATACCTAAGTTTATTAATAATGCCCGAAACGCTTTGCGTAATAGTGGCTTTAGGCATTGTATGTACTAGCTCTACCTATAAGTCAACCAATCTTTGTAAAAATTTATTGTATTTGTGTACCTTACCTAAATAAACATTTTATTTTATTTTATTTTTATTTTTTATAATAATAAAAAAGTTAACTTCCAAATTAATTACGGCATATAAAGGTCCCTTAAAGATTTGCCTGAAACGCTTGGCATTTTAGTGACTGTGCGATAATGTGCCATTTGCACACCACAACTGATCAAAAATAATCCATTGTACTTTCAAGCAAATATTAAAATAAATAAATATATAAAGCTTTAACCCATGTAGTGTTTCTCTACTCGCCACAGTTTGTTCATTGGTGCGCTTTTATGTAGTCAAACAACACGGAGGCAATTTATGCATATTTACCTTGTCGCTCTTCATATCATGCTGAATATGCAATTTGTCAAGTAATAAGATTTCATGAAAACGACATTTGTTAGTTTTACATCTGAAGAATACACAGTACGATCTCATATGAACGAACTTGAGAGGCGTTATTGTGACTTCTGTGTTAGTCACAGTAGCTTTCATAATATGTGAAATATTGCATAAAAATAAATATAAATAATATATAATGTAAATATATATTTATTTAAATAGTAAATGAAAATAATATTTTTGTTTAAATTGATTCAAAGTATGCAAACTGTGTTAGATAACAAGTGATCAAAACAGCTGGAACTTGTGTTGGTGTTCGTGTGTGTTGCCGGGCTCCCAAGTCAGCCAAGGTTGATGTTGGAAAGAGGTTTACTTGTTAAGATTAAACACATTTCTTAGCTAACGATGTGATAAAGAGTTGCTGGTAGTAGCTGTGTATTATCTGGTGGTGGTGGGGCTCATATGTGGCACACGCTCTGGCTGCCCCGGCGCCACCAGAGCTGCTGCTGCAACAAGTGATAATAATAATAATAATAATTTATTTAGGAAAAGTACATACATACTTGCAGAGTTACAGTACAAACATTCTGTTAGATTTAAAGATAGAGGTAGTACATATAATACCTAAAGCCACTAGTACGCATAGCGTTTCGGGCAAACTTGCAAACTTTCTACAACAAAGTTGTAGAAAGCTTTGAATTGCAGTGATATAACGCAGGAAATTGGTATATACTAACTAGTAAGCTTTTGTATTCACGTATGGGAGTGGCCGTAAGTGCTGTGGTTGTAACAGTTGCGGCACAAGTGATTATTCTTGGCTTCGATTCCCAGATGCGCCCAAACGTTCTGCAAAATGACAAATTTTGTAATTAACGCCAGTACCCATAATTATATTTTTGTACTATTATATGATAACCAATTGGTGAATATTCATTGCCAACTTTCTTTACATTTTTGTCAGGGCTGATTCACATTACAGTAGGCCTACTAGGCTAGTCTAGGTAGGGTAAGGTTAGGGTAGGCTAAGCCAGGCAAAGACAGCTTGAGTTATGTTGATTGGGTTAGGTAAGACCAGGCATTTATTTCCACTAGTAGCAAAGCTTAAAGGCTGCCATCACTTCATGAAACAACTGAGATATACTTAGGTTTTTGACCTTTTTCTCAGTGTTTTGTTATTTTCTTGTGCCAAGTGTTCAGTTATAGTCATAGATTTTATCATGCATTTTCTTTTATCCAAACAGTGTATAGTACCCAAGACTAGGGTAGTATCCTACCCTAGACTTGGTCTATCCAAATATTGGAGTTCAATCTCCCAAGTGTATTCAAACCAGCGCCGTGCTCTTTCAGCCTGTCCAAACCGGAGGTGTACCAGAGTGTCGGTATTAAAGTATCAGACTGATGGTATTAGTACTGTACACCTCTAATGCAAAGAGTGCATTACCTCATTGTTCTATTTAAACAGCATTGTGATCCGTGAATCTATCAAAATAGCACAGCAGTGAACATAGAAAAAACATATTTCCTGATCAGTATCATCAACTTACATTTTACAAAATTACTCTAGGAATGACATGTTACTTGGTGCTCATTTACCGAGTGGCTGAGGGATCATAATACAGTATGGCATCTTATTTTGAACTTGCTCTTACCTTAAAGTAACCAACCTAATCTAACTTAGAGTAGCCAAATATAATGGAATCTAACTTGTCCAGAAAAGCACTCCTGGCTACAAGGAACAAGCTGGAAATAGGGTGAATTTTGGGATGGTTATTCCATCTTTCGCATTATTATTGTAACATAAGAATCTTTATTTTTGCTTTTTAGTTTATTTAGGCCTACCAGTAAAGCATAGCAAGTACTGTACACTATAGATAGGTGCAAGGTAAAAAGTAAAAAAAAAAAAAAAAAAAAAAAAAAAAAAAAAAAAAAAAAATGTTCTGTACATGGATGGGGTTCTGGGAGTTCTACTCCCCAAGAACCCACCAGGGACGAGGCTTGACTTGTGAGAGATATTAGATATTCTACATTTAGGAAGTTTGGAAATAGTTACTTGAAAATAGAATGCATTAATAAGTTTTATGGATATTTTATAATATGATTTCCCTTTTACAGATGTTCGTTAAGCCCTTCAGAATCAAGTCACAAACACAGTTAAAGGGTTCAGATAGGTAAGATTTATTTTTTGCAAAATTGTAGCATTTAATATTTTGTCACATATCCACATAGGTGAAGCAATTGAAAACCAAAATTGTTTTATGTAATACGCATAGTTTGATATTCTGTTATTTAATACTTCTTGCCTAAAAAAAAAATTGTATGCCCTCTCTGAGTTAAACATGATCAGCATATCTTCAATTTCCAACTCTTCTATGCTGACATATTGCTTAGGACATTTCCAGGCTGAAAGTTTCCAAATTCTGAATTAGCCAATCCTGAAATTGTCCTCTGCATTTGGAGTGCTGAGCTCTGAGACGTGCTTCTGTCTAAAGGATCTAGGTATTTTTATTTTGCATTGCTTTAGCATCAAGACCCCAACCACTTGGGCTGGATGGTAGAGCTACGGTCTCACGTCATGCAGGTCGACATTTAATCACCGACCGTCCAAGTGGTTGGGCACCAATCCTTCTCCCATACCATCCCTAATCCTTATCCTGATCCCTTCCTAGTGCTATATAGTTGTAATGGCTTGGTGCCTTCCCCTGATAATTCCCTTCAGCATCAAGACCTTTATCAGGTTCTTAATGTACTGTACCTGATTTACCTGAAGGCCACTACCACTGGTGGTCTTGATGAGGACAGGAAGCCGGTGGCTTGTCAAAGATCCCTCCCAATGATGACTGATTTACTTGCAGAACTTGATAAGGAATATTTAAAATTCATTGAACCTATAAAAAATATACAATTGCAATAAAAATCTTGTCCTTAAAATGTGTAATGTACTATTAACCCATGCTTTTTAAGGTTATTTATGTGATAAAGTAGGCAAGGTCTGTTTTAGTTAGAACACGGTAGGTTTGGATTAGTTACATTAGAATATGCAGTATTATATTAGGTTAATCTAGATGATCAGCAGGTTGGAGAAGAAGTGACAGGAGCTCAAAACCTTAGCTGTCACCATAAATCCTTATGATGCAAATGGATATGCCCCATAGACCTATACTGGGCACTGTTCCTTATGGCTGAGAGTTTCTGCTGTAATGGAATAGCTGCTGTGTAGCTATTGATAGTAAAAATACAGGGGGCATGTGAAAATTCCTTACATGTGATGTAGGTTTGCAAATTGATGAATATTCATTTGTGTTAATCTAATCATATTTTATTTTACATAATAGTAAAAAGTTACAGCATAACACACACTTCCATGTTATTTTCCAGGAAAAAACTGCGAGCTGAATTATCACAGGCATACCCATCTCTTACATCGGAAGATTTGTCCAAGCTCATTCCCGGCAAAGAGGATGTTACTCTTGTGCGCATGTATTGCTACAAAGGAGAATCTGTCAATGTTTATCAGGTGCTGTATACCACTTTAACTGTTGGCAAGCTTTACTGTTAAACTTTACTAATCTACTTCAGATAGTGTGTAACTTGAAATCCTTAGGATATATTTTTTATCATTGAAGTAAATATTTTGGTCAATGATTGTAGGAGGAAGTTGTTTACAAATAAAAGTAGATTTTTAATTTTGGTGTGGCAGGAGAAAATTTTGGTGTGACGGAAAATTTTGTTTTGAAAAGGTAATATGTTTAGTGTGACGGGTGAAAGATTTTGGTGTTCCGGGGGAATTTGGGTTGGCCTTTTCTTTTGTGGTACAGTACAACCTTGATTCACTGAACTGTATGGGACCAAACCCAATTTCTTGCAGCTAGAAATTCCTCCATGATGCATTTCCCCATGCCCTATGGGCTAATTTCAGTTAGCAATATTTTAATTTTAACCTATAATTTAATAGACAATTACCAGCAGAAGACTTCTGCAAAAAAAATTCAACAAATTCGAACTCATTTTTCATGTCCCCAGCCTCTAAACTCCTTTTCAAAAGGTAGCAGGTAGCTATTAATAGCCGTCAACACAGCAGTGTTGACGGCTATTAATAGCTGAGGAGTATAAGGGTTAAATATTCCCACGAACTTTCACAAGGCTCCAACTGTTTCTTAGAATGTGGAATTCATCTACAAATATCATCAAAAAAGTGACTAGAGCCACCTAAAGTGTTATCATTTATATTCTAATATTTCCCATGCTCTATGGGCTGATTTCACCAAGTGATATTTGAATTTTGATCTAGTCATATGAAGAACAGAAACCAAGTTTTCTATAAAGAGATTTAACTACATCTAGCATATTTCCCACACCCTAGCCATGAAACCTCATTTTCAAAGGAAAAAGGACCATATTTGTGAACGAAAACTATGGAATCTCAAAATTAAAATAAACCATAGAATTTGGTTTTAATATGCTCAGTAACTTTTCCAAGGCTCCTTACTATTTCTTACAAGTTTTGCCAATCAGTGAAAATCATTAAAAACATGATTGGTATTAAGAGTTACAATTCATACCCAATATTTCCCACGATCTATAGACTGATTTTACTAAGCAAAATTATAATTTTAACCTATCATATAAAGTTCAACAATCAAGAGAACCTGCCTGTAAAGAAATTTAACTGCACCTGGCAAATTTCCCATGCCCAAGCCTCTTGACCTCATTTTCAAATGGGAAAAGGGTTCATATTTTATTGAACATAAACCTCTGAAACTGGAAATGAAAAAAAGCAGAGCATTTGGTTTTAAATATCTCTGTGCTCAGTGGTTTCCAAAGACCCCCAGCTGTTACTTGTAAAGTTTACTCAATCCTTGAACTCGGTCTCAACATCCTAAGCAAATCCACACGTCCCTTGCTTCAGTGAACTCTTGTTCACTGCACAACATTATTACACTGTTGTTCACTGAATTAGGTGAGTAAATCTGGTATGGAAAGTGTATGTTCCAACTGGAGATTCGCCAAATCAAGGTTTGTTGAATCAAGGATTCAATGCAGTGAATACATGCTGTTGTCTCTTTTCTACCTTCTTGGGGCTTAGCCCTAAAATTGGTTTACTTTCAGAGTGTGTCGTATGTTTCCACAGACATCTCATGTTCTCCCAATTGTGTTGGAATGGGAATAGGATGAGAATTCTTTTCACTGGATATGTTAAAAGTCTGCTGTTCCATTGTAGATCGCTTCCCCTCTACTTGGAACCACAAGCTCCCTGTGTATGTGACTGCTCTCCAACCAGGAAGCATTTGTGTGAGATGCTGTATGTCAGGAATGGCAAAAGTGTGATATGATTTATTGTACCTGTTTCTGCCACTCCAAATGCTGCTTCCTGTCCGTTTATTAAAGGGTTGAGGCCTACTGAGATCTATTAGAGTGAAATTACAAAGCCAAACCACATTTCCTCCCAGCTCTAGTAAATATACTTGATGGTTTCTGGGCCTGGTAAATATGACAAAGTTGTAGAAGGTAGTTTTGTTGTGTTGGTTCTGCCACCTGATAGTGGTTGGGTTCATGACCTAGTGGACCATTCTGTAGTTAGTCAGGGAACTGCTAGGCAATCTTTATTATTCCAAGTAGTTATTGGATAGGCTTTGAGTTTTTGTAAGTAATTTTATGGCTGCATTTTGAGTTGTATTGTTCTCCAGTGTCCCCCCTGTTATCTGTATAACCCAGCAGGGGTATACAAGGTTTTAACTCGTTAAAACCTCGAGACATTTCTAGCTGTGCCAGCGACGGATGTTGACGTGCCTAGACTGTACTAGATTCTAACCAGAATTCGGTGGAATTTGTAGTAGGGAGCAACTGAGTGTAATGATCAGACTTTTTCTTTGTTTACTCAAACCCTGATTGGTTTAATTATTTTAGTGTGAATACTTTTTCTAGCTAGAGGTTTAACTATGTAACTTGTATATTATTTCAGTACCGTAATGTATTTTTATTTTATAGCACTTGATATAAAGTGTAGAAAGAAATAGATTTGAGAATAAATAATGCATTTAAATCTTTGAGTATGGATCTTGGACAAATGTGACATCCGAGATTATATTATCCATAATTGAAGCACAATTTTATCCAGTCCACACTTGGAAGCTTGCATTGCACATGATATACTGTATAATCTTAGCATTATTGATCCATATATAAATACCACGTATATTAATAAGCATGATCTTAAACCTACAGGTTCAAAAGGATCCGATCTTCTTCACAATTGATAAAGACAAGGTAGTATACCCTACAGTGTATTTGCTGTGGAGACACCCAGAGCTTATGCATACCTTTACAACGCATACACATGTCATTGGTGTGTTAGCAGGTGGAGCTGATCTCATGTTACCTGGAATTATTACAAAAGGAGAGGTATGTTTTAATGACCATTCTAGAGGGAGAGCAAGGTACAGTGTGTAGGAATGTTATCAAGGGATAATAAAATTAGATAAGAGAGAAAAGTAAAAAGGTATCAATTGATCAGTGAGATTTTGATAGACTTTTAGTTATTGATTCATATGTTTGTTAATTTGTTACACCATTGTGAGCATTAATGTATTATAGTTAGTGTGATTAGTTGCTTATACATATGCTGTCTATTAGGAAAGTGTACTGCTTGGACAGGTTTAGAATACCTCACCCCCTTGTGCAGTTGTATACCATTATGGATCTCTTGTCTGGCTTCAGATTGGTCAGACTTTCTCGCTGTTTAAGATCAGTGCCTCTCACAGTACTGGATAATTCTGTTACTTTGGACAAGCAGTTTGGAGGAGACACATACCACGTAGCCCACAAGAACCATGTGTAGACTTCTTGTCTTTCTAATGACCAAACCACACACCAGAAGATGAAGAGACGAGAACGTTTTGGTCTATCCTGGACCATTATCAAGCCGATTGTGTGCTGCTATCCTGCAGCTATCTCTGAGTTGATGTTCTTCAGTTGTACAGTACTTCCCTCCATGTAATTTGCAAAATCCACCAATCTTCCATACACACCTTTATTCTGCTTCACATTTTTCTGGGGGGAGCCCCTATGGCTCCCCGGAGCTATCCAGGCTGATATGCTAATATCAGACTTTGGCATAAGTCATGTGTATGGAGTTCTTTGGGCCTACCAGGGACCACAGCCAGAACCTGCCCCCCTCAGAGAGGCAAGGGAAGCAATAGCTTATAGAAGCCCTCGTGTGGTTGGAAGCATTCCATGTCTGCCATCGATTGGGTCAGGCACCCAGAAAGGTAAGCATCCCAAAACAAACCCCTATTGTGGCAAAAATATTGCTCCCAAAAGCCAAACAAGTGGATAGAACTCCCCAAACAAAAACGAGCAAACTAGTGTGACGTCACCCGTTGCCGCGCCGCCGTCTGTGCAGCTCCCCCCTCTGTGCAGGGGGAAGGGGCAGCCCCAGACCTACTGCGCCGATGACCCACACCCCACTTCTTGAGGCTGATGCTATAGGCAGCGGTTGTGTACTCTGGCTCCAGACTTTTACGTCGCTGTGCCTTGTGTGTGGCGGTTGTTCTCCAGAGGTGCGAGAGCCAGGAGTTACTCTTCAGTACTCGGGTTGCATGCGCCTAGGGTTCCCTTCCTTAGGTGCCCTGTAAGTACTGCCCTTGGAGCTTGGGGTTACCTTCCACAGGTTCCTTGGGATCTGCCTCTGTGGGTCCGTTTAACTGCTCGGTTTTTTGGCTGCCCTTTGGGTACTTGGGTGTTTTGTCTCCCTAATTTATCCTAGGGTAGGAGGCAGTTTTGCACTGGTAAGGGCCGCAGGGTGCTGTGCAGCTTGTTGTCACCAATCACAGCGGCCAGCTCTGTTCCTTGGGATACGTTGTCCTCTTGCGGGATTTTGTTTTTCTTTGTTTTTGCCTTGGTAGGGGGTGCTGCCCTACTTTCCACTGGTGTTTGGCCTCATCCTGATACTTGGTAGTGCCCCCTGCTAGGTCCCCATGAGCGTACATGTCCCTGGGGGTTCAGCTGTAGACAGTTTGTTTGGTAGTTTTGGGCTCCAGTTAGCAGTACCCTGCCTGGGTTTACCTGAGCGCGAGTCCTCTTATAGTAAACGCTTAGGATCCTGGGAATCCCCTAGGGGACGCATGGGTCCGATGGATGCGACCCCGGAGTCCCCCCTCGCTTCATGCGAGTTTGAGGGTTGTTCGCCCTGCTTCGCGTTCGGGCGTAAGGGGTCGACCCTTGTCTCAGGGAGACCCTCATGGTTTTTGCCTCTGTCACACTGCCTGTTGGGTCGGTGACACTTTCGACCCTGAGTCCTGTGAGTTTTTGCTGCTTGCTGGTGACTCAATTTACCCAATCCGTGGATGATCTTCGGGTACAGGCTGCGCAGGCGGCGTTGCATTCTAGGTTTCATTTGTTGCAAAGCGTTCAATTGGTTGCTCACCCGGATGCCCCGCGGCTGCCCCGTTTTGCTTATAGAGACCTGGATTTAGGGGTGGGGTTGCCTCGACCCTGGTTCAGTCTGCACCTCCTCGTCCTTCCCCTCCTGCCATTTGTTCTAGTCCCCCTCCCCTGCTTCCGGCCGCGAAACGTTTGAGGGTTTCGGAGTCGGGGCAGGGGTTAGTTGGTCTTCAGAATCGGGCAGCCTCTGGGGATGCCCCTTCTGGTGTGGCGATGGAGGCATTCGAGTCTACTCCCTTGGCTGAAGACTCTGGGTCTAACCAGTGGACCCCCTTCTGTCTGGCTTCTACGGCTGCACCGGCCTTGTCTGGTGGGGTCGGTGCTTGGGGGGAAGACTTGGCACCGGGTCCTGCGGAGGAGGGCTGGGGAGGGGCTGACTTGGGGGCCTTGGGCCCCACTGGACCCCGCCTGGGTTTTTCTGCCCTCTGAGCAGGGCTTGCTGTTATAAGGAGTGGGGTTTTCTTTTCCCCCCTCTGCGTACGAGTTGGACTTGGTGTCTGCCCCTCCCCTGGTTTGGTTCAGTGTTTCCCCTGGGTGCTTCGGTTCCGTCTTTTTGGAGGTTTTCGGCTTATCATATCCAACCTGCTGTGGTGCGTGCGGCCCTTGCGGCAAACCTCCTGCTTGACCCGGATTATGCCTCGGCAATGGATCCCTCGGCTTTCAGGTTTGGGACTTCGTTCCCTTTCTGGCTCCATTACGAGGTTCCGGAGTCGTCATGGCTGGCGAACAGTCCGGTCTTTACCTTGGAGGCCTGGCACTCCTTCTGCCATTCCCGCACGCTTGAGTGGTGGGAGGCTTTGACGGTGCTGCTTTCCGGAAGGGGTCCCTGGGTTGTTGATGCTTGGTTGGTTTGGCCGGGGGTGCATCATGTTTTGTGTCCGGTTGCAGCTCTCCGCCGTTATTTGTGCGCCACGGCTTCTGTGTCCGTGGATGCAGTTTGGGTTGATGCGGTTTCCTTTCTATATTGTTCGCGGGTGTGGGTCTCCCAGGTCGTCCACAGGGTTATTAAGGCTACCCAGCCTGTGGTCTAATCCCGTGCCCATGACGTTCGCAGGTTCGCGGCTCTTGCCACCATCTTTGGCAATATGTCTTGGGCTGACATTTGGAAGCGGGGATTTTGGCGGTCGAACAGGGTCCTGGCTGCTCGTTATCTTGTTAACATCCCTGGGCCCAGTCAAGCCTGTGTCGCTTTGGGTCGGCGGATGCAGCCAGTTGTCTCGACTTCGGGTTGAGGAGTGAGCAGCAACCACCTCCTGGGTAAGTCCCTCTTTTCTCCTCTGTGGGTAGTTAGCTCCAGGGAGCCATAGGGGCTCCCTCCTGAAAACCAGCGTTAAATGTAATGAAACGCCATTTTCTGGGTGATAACCGGAGGCTTCCCGGCATCCCTCCCTCCCTCTGGTCGGCGTTTTTTCGTGTGTTTTGACATCCAGCCTCAGAACTCGGGTGTGGATCACCGGTGCAGTAGGTCTGGGGCTCCCCGTTCCCCCTCCCAGGGAGGGGGGGAGCTGCACAGATGGTGGCGCAGCAACAGGTGACGTCACACTAGTTTGCTCGTTTTTCTTTGGGGGAGTTTTATCCATTTGTTTGGCTTTTGGTAGCAATATTTTCACCAGAATAGGGGTTTGTTTTGGAATGCTTACCTTTCTGGGTGCCTGACCTGGTCGATGGCAGACATAGAATGCTTCCAACCACACGGTGGCTTCTATAGGCCATTGCTCCACTTGCCTCTCTGAGGGGGCCAGGTTCTGGCCTTGGTCCCCGGTGGGCCCAAAGAACTCCATACACATAACTGATACCAAAGTCTGACATTAGCATATCAGCCTGGATAGCTCCGGGGAGCCTCCGGGTCTCGCCCAGAAAATGGTGTTTCATTACATTCAATGCTGGTTTTTTCACTCCAACCGACTTTACAGCTCTCCAATGGACCACCTTATGATACCTGAGTGACATAGACAGAACTTTAATTTGTCTTTGCTTGCAATTCCAAGTGTATTTTGTGTCTTGTTAATCTTTTAGAAATACCTTGGTCATTCTTATTGTAATATTTACTGTTCTGCTGTCTCATCAGTTATGTACATTTGTATTGTCCTACTGGTCACCAGCTTGCTGTCGGTGTGCACTGTACCACCTTGAGATACTTCTTTGTCCATGTTTAGGAATAACTAAGTCACCAGTGCTGTCGGCCCCAACATTATTCATTGTGTTGTAGAGTACTCTTAATTTTACGTCAAGTAGAAATAGACTAGAAATGGATCACCAGAGGTATAAATTTAATTGGATGTGTTTTTTACTGTACTAGCATCTACAACCATTAACATAATTATTTTGTTCACTCTGAAGTGGAGTAGTTATAATAATGAATTAAGCTCATTAATTTTTGTTCTATGTGCTGTTGTCGAATCTTGATCCCGTTTGATCTTCAGTCCGACACAAGTACAAGTTCATAAGTCCATAGTGACAGGTTGTTACCCAGTGTGTAAATGTTCAGATAAACATTTTCATGCTAACATGTTAGTTACTTTTATTATAGTGGAGATCAGTTTAAATATCCAACAGGCTATGTTTGCAGTAGTTTATTGTGTTTAATAACTATGTATTGTGTTTGTTTACACACTACATTTACATACTACAGTATTGAATTTTTTCTCTGTTTTACCAGTTTACAGTATACAAGCTTTTATCTTTGTTTTTATGCCCTTCGCAGATGAGTCCGTATTCATATGGCAAGTTTGAGAAAGGCTTCCCTGTTGCCATCAACACTACAGATAACAAGGCTCCTCAGGCAGTGGGTGTTACTGCACATAGCTCTATGGACATGTATATGTGTGGAAGACATGGTAAAGGTGTCAGCATCCTGCATGTTTACAGAGATCAGCTGTGGGAAATGGGTTCCAGAAGTCCCCCACCTACTATGGGGCCACCTGATATAATACTAAGTGGTCAAGTTGTCATAGGTTAGTTTGAACTGATTGTACTCTAATATGTTTAGAACATTGATTTATATACAGTATCTTGATATTATGAGAGACATGCAGTTTTACTTAGTTGTAATCTGCATGATTTGAATCTGATAAATAAATTTAATCTGTATTCTTGTTTCTTAGTCAGTGTTTGAATGCACTGTACATGGAACTGTGTAATGATGTGCAAGACTATAAATAACAATCAACTGTAAAAATTAAAAGAATATATATAGCTATGTTCAATGGCTTTCCCCATGACCTAACTTCCTCATATTTTGTGGCCAAGAGTCAAGCTGCAGGTTTATGAACATATAAGAAAGTTATGGACCTTCACTGTAGACAAAAACCCGTCAGTAAATGTTCTTAATGTGGTACAACATGTTTTGATCATTATTGAATATCTCTGGTGTAGTCAAAGTCCTTCTCTTGCCTTACAATGTATTAAATTAAATAGCCTTCACTAATTTCTGTTCTTGCATACTAGAAATTATATCATGAGTGCATCATTATCTAAATATGTAAAAGAACTTGCCTCCACCATCTATCATGCCTTCATTCTTTATCCAATCATTGGTCTTTACCTCAATAATCTGGTGTGCTTTAGTACTTTAGTGCTTATTTTGAGTTATCTTTATTACTTTTAAAACAAGTAATGGCATATTGATACAAACTGAGTTTGGGGAAAACAAAAAAGTCCCTCACAATTTCTTGCATTTTATATATGTAATTTTTTCCATTCAACATTGAAAACGACTTAAATTCCTCTTCCCTTGAATACTGCTTCCAAGTTTTGTTCCCAACTGTCATATTGTTGTGACTTACTCTCTTGTCTGTTGTGTGCAAATTGACCACTTTCAGTAACCTGCTTATGTGATAAATTATATGATATATAGTACAGTGTAGGTCTATGAAACTTCAATTACCTTCATTGAATTATCAGAGAATGAAGATAGTGCTGAAGAAATTATAGTTGGTAGTGAAACAGATGAGAGCGAGAAACTAAAAGAGATTTCTCCAGAGCAAGTAACAGATGACGTTGAAAAACTAATCTTGTTAGAGGAGCCAACGCCTGATAGCAGTAGCAACCTCAGCCCGGAAAACAGCACACCTAAAGAAGACACTCCTCAAACAACTGGTAGGTTGACAAGCAAAAACATATTCCTCGTTTTGTTTATAGTTTTATCCAAATTTGTTGGGATTTTCCTTTAGCTTTATATGTTGTTTTATTTGTGAATTCTGCAATCTATAGAAGTATTTGTATGTAATACATTACTGTATAGCTATATGTGATTGATTTTTGATGTGTGTGGTGGTACTTGTATATCTTTGATACCTTATGTCGCATTGTGTATTCACAATACAACATAAGGCTAATAACAACACTAATCCATACAGTGAATGGATTAGTGATTTGTTAATATTTTATTATTTAATTTCTATAACCTACTTTTACTATATTACTCTCCTTTGAATTTCTCGGCCGATACCACAAAAGTGGAAAATGAGGGTAATAATAATGTATGTGTGTATGTATTGTGCTCATGTGAATCATGTTCTGATGGTAATCTTTTTGAAATTAAAGCATTTGTTTTTAATTTTAGTGCAATGTTTCCAAAGATCATTCATAATGAGTAGATGTGTTGGAACTTCATAATCAGTAGTTATATGTTTTGGATCATATATTGTCAAAATTGCAGAGTCTACAGGAAACTACTTACCATAGTCCCCCTAACAGCATCAAGAGTTCCTTTAGTGTCACAATGATTGCAAAGCAAATTGAGTGCAGGTTAACAAAAACATAAGATACCATTGTTCTAGGTGTGGTGTATTTTTATTAAAACAGGAAAGTATTGGTGTATGTACAGTACTGTTCTTGATAAATCAGAAATTAATATAAATGAGCACAGATAAGTAGTCCCACATGATATCAAAAAGAGATTTCTATGGGGAGCCCTATCAGCTCCCTGAAGCTATCCAAACTGACATGTGCAATATTAGCTTGGGGTCATCAGTCAAAGTTCTTATTCTTACCGGGAACCACAATGGCCTATGAGCATTTAGAGTATGTCATATTTGCCATCAACCGGGAAGGGCACCCAGAAAGACAGGCGAAACAAAACAAACCACAAATTGCAACCTACATCTGAACAAAGCTAAATAGCTTCCCCCCCCCAAAAAAAAAAGAAAAGGAACAAGCAACACATCATCCAACTTGCACACTCACTCGTTAGCTTGGAGGTGGAATTCTGGCTCTGCGTCGGGATTCCTACTCCTGCGGGGCCAGGTTCCCTTGGGGCTCGGTGCGGCTATAGATATGTCTATAGAGTCCCCTCTCACTTTTAGTGGGTATGAAGGTTGTTTGTTGCCCTTGTTTCAAATTGACAATCATCTGTTCTGCCTCCGTCATGCTGTTTATTGGGTCGAGGACACCTACGACCCAGTGTCGTGTGGGATTTGTTGTTTCCCACTCATTCTCCAGCTTACCTCTTCGTATTTGGAGGAACTTAGGGGTTAGGCAGCGGCTGCTTTGCAGTTTAGGTTTTGTTTGTGTCATCGCGCCCTGTTTGTGGCAAAGTCGAATGCCCCGGAACTGCCCCATTTTGGTTTGAGGGACCCGAAATTGGGGGTGTTGGTCAGTTCGACCTTGGTTTTGCTAGCTCCCTTGATTTACTCCCTGCTTGGCGTGGTTCGCCCTGCTCCTCCCTTCCCCCCTCCTTATTCTCGGTTCCCAAACGTCTGAGGGTTTCAGAGTTGGGGTGGAGTTGGGCATCCTTTTCTTTAGGGGCAGTAGGCATGGATGTGGTTTCTGTCCCAGGGCATGGGGGGAAATTGCTTTGGGGCTCTTGGGCCCCGTTTGACCCTGCTTGGGTTTTGGTACCTTCGAGGCAGGGTTTGTTGTTGCAGGGCGAGGGGTTTTGTATCTCCCTTCCCTGTAAGAATTTACTTAGGGGTGATATTCCCCCCTCGGGTTCGTTACCGGGTTCCTTTGGGTTCTTCAGATTCGTCCTTCCAGAAGTTTCTGCCTCTCGGATTTCCTCTGCGGAGGTTCGGGAGGCCATCAGTGCTTACCTCCTGCGAGACCCGGAATTTGCCTCTTTTGGACCCAGCCTCTTTAGAGTTCGGTTCCTCGTCCCCGTATTGGATGCGTTATGAGGTTCCTGGGTCTTACTGACTAGCAAACTGCCCTTGTTTTGCTCTTGGGGCTTGACACAGGTTTTGTAGTACCCGCTTACTTGAGTTGCATGAGATTTCCTCTGTATTACAGGTATTTTTTGGGGTGCTCTCGAGTTCCTCAATGAGGGCCTTCACGCCCCTGCTCTTTCTTATGAGGTTGGGTTGCTGCAGTTGCACCCTCAGGTCCCCGTGCTTTAAGCTGCCATGGTCAGTTAGGATCATCGCGCTTGTGGTCATTTGTCTTTGGTCTTGCGCTACTTTAGTTTTCTCGAGCTGTCATCAAACTGGCTTTCAGAGGACGTGGAGGTGTTGAGTCCTGGGCCTTCTGCTGCTGAGCTGGTCTCGGTGGCTTGGGCGTTGGCGGCGTTGGTGGAGCGGTTTGTACCTATTCTCCGGGAGGCAGTTTCCATGTTTTATGCCTCGCGTGTTGACAGGGCATCCTTGCCCTCTTGACTCTGCTTGGGCCCCGGCTCTTCAGTCTTCGACTCCATTTTGTCTGTTGTTGTTTTCAAATGCCATTGTGTCTCAGTTGCAGATGACAGCATCCTCCAGTTGCCATTCTATTTCTGATTTGTTGGTGCTCCGGGGGGGGGGGGGGGGTTGGATCATTACCGCTCTTCCCAGAGGGGTTGTGCCAGGGCTCGGGTGTCAGTAGCTCGAGGTGGGCCCTTGGTGCCAAATTCTGTGTTGGTGTTTCCTCCTGGGCCTTCTTCGTCTGGTCAGCATCCTATATATATATTATGCCCTGTAGGGGTTAAATTCTTCTATCTAAAGAGGAGGAAAAACAAGATCACATTCCAAGTGTACCATTTCCACTCGGAGCAGAAGGTGAAATGTCCTTCCATTAAAATGGGAATAACATGACATCAGTTCAAATTTATGAAATGGAATTGAGGTTTTATCATATCATCTGCGTATGTACAGATAACCTCTGGAACTAGAAACTATATAATTGGAATAAATTTCCAGAGCATCTTCTGATATTTATGCTAATAATTGTGCAGTGTTCTGTTTGGAAACCACTGTAAATAGGCTAACCTTAAGTCAGTGCATGTAATATATAAATGCAGAGGGCATATATAGTATATACTAGTGTAACAGAATTGAATGAAAACTGAATTTATGTTTAGTATGGTCACAAATTGCCTGTTTTTATTTTATTTTAAGCATTGCAGAAAAGATTGTGATAATTATAAACCTATAGCAAAGGTAAGCAATTTGTTTACCTTATATATAAGAATAAGAGTTACAGCCCTTAACATTTGTGACAGGTCCTGAAGCAATGGATAAGCTACTGCTCCATTGTTTTCTGAAGGCTTGGAAGACGTCTGGAAAGAAGGTGGCGCTCCCTATCCTTACGAGCAATTTTTACCGCTTGCACATGATTCCGGCTTGTCCAGATGGAGCATCTTTGGATATTAAGAAATCATCATATAAAAAATTGTCAAAGGTAGATTTTCTGGGAAAAACCCCTTCAGTTTCCCAGAGCTATCCAGGCTGATATTGATATATTAGACTTTGGCATCAGTCAGTGTGAATGGAGTTCTTAGGGCTACCGAGGACCACGAGCCAGAACCTGGCCCCCTCAGAGAGGCATGAGAATCAATGGCCTATAGAATTGCACATGTGATTTGGAGCATTCTGTCTGCCATTAACCGGGTCAGGCACCCATAAAGGTAAGCATCCCAAAACAAACCCCTATGCTGGTTGAAACTACTACAGAAAGTCAAACGAGTGGTCAGAACGGCCCCAAAGATAAACGAGCATGATGTCACCACGTGTCGTGCCGCCTTCTGCGCAGCTCTCCCGTCCCTGGAAGGGGGAAGGGGAGCCCCAGTCCCCTCATGCTTGCTACCCCACACCTTTAGTTCTCGGCTCATATGTTTGAGGCTTGGTCGTGTGACTCCAGCTCCTGATTCTTGTGTTCAGTGCTGTGCCTTGTGTCTAGTGCTGTCTTCAGGGTGGTGCGTGAGCTAGAAGGATCTAAGACTCGGGCAGTCTTGGGGGTTGCCCCTTCTGGGGTGGTGAAGGAGGCATTCGGCATTCAAGTCGGTTCCTCCAGCCGTGGCATCAAGGTCTGACCAGTGGGCTTCTTTCCTTCCTGCCTTTCCGGCTGTCCCGGCTTTTTCTTTTGAAGCTGGGGCTTTGGAGGATGACTTACCACCGGGATCCTGGTGTGGAGGTTCCTGGGGTTGGGGAGGGGCTGACTTTGGGGCCTTGGGCCCCATTGGACCCCACCTGGGTTTTTCTACCTTTCGAGTGGGGCTTACTGTTGCAAGGAGTGGGATTTTCTCTTCCTCCCTCTGCGTACAAGTTAAATTTGGTGTTGGCCTCTCCCCGGATTCGGTTCTGTGTCCCTTCGGGTCCGTCGGTTCCGTCTTCCCAGAGGTTTACGGCTTCCCGCATCCTGCCTCATGAGGTTTAGGCGGCCATTGCGGCTTACTTCCTTCCATTGCAACCCAGCTTACACCTCTATAATGAATCTGTCTTCACTCAGGTTTGGGTCCTTGTCTCCCTTCTGGGTTTGTTATGAGGTTCCAGAGTCGTCCTGGCTAGAGGACTGCCCTGTGTTGTCTTTGGATGCTTGGAGTACTTTCTGTTATACCCACACGCTTGAGTGGCACGAGGTGCTGACGATGGTCCAGGTTTACCTGGGGAGGTCGGACAATTCGAGTACCTCAAAGCGTGTTTGTTTGCCCTTGCCTTTCAGTGGGATGTTGGCATGGTGCAGCTTCATATGCAGGTTCATTCCCTTTCGGCTGCACTTGTGGTTGAGGACTTGCACGCTCGTGGCCTACTGGTTTCGGTCTTGCGGTTCTTTTCCCTCCTGGAGCTGTCTTCGGATTGGCTTGAGGAGGATGTGGAAGAGTTTGGGGCCATTCATGGGGGGAAGGGGCTCGCTTCCTTGTTGGAATCTGCTTGGGCCCTGGCTCTTAAGTTTTTATCGCGGTTATGTCTGCTGTTTGCATTGTCTGCTTTTGGACAGTATCTGCAGGCAGCCTCTTCTAGTTGTTGCTCGATGTCGGACTTGTTGGTTCTTTGGGGGTCCCTGGGGGTTCCTCTTGGAAGGGCCATGCCAGGGCTCGAGGTTCCTCTCGTGGTAGACCACTGGTGTAAAGTTCTGTGCCAGCACCACCTTCGGACCCGTCTTCATCTGGTCGGCACGGTGATCGTTCTGTGTGTAAGTTGGGTTCTCACAAGGGGCTTCGGCTCTTTCTGGGGTTCACCCCATTGACGGGGCAGAGGGGGAAGGCTTGCGCTGTTCGCTTACGCCTAGTCTCGTGATTTGTGTGTTTTCCGGGTTGTTTTCGACGGCCTGTGGTGGCATTGGATGGCCCCCTCCTCCTTTGGGGCTGGCAGGGCAGGCCTCTTCTCCTGTGCTCTGTTGGGTCATCTCAGAGTGGGTATGCTTGGGCATGGTCAAAACGATGGCATCCCTCAGGTGGGTTTCCCATTTGTTCCCAATCCCGAAACGGGATGTGCGGACCTGCGGCTTATTCTTGACTTGTCCTGTCTGAACCCCCCTGGGTCTTTTGCCCCTTTTTTTGGATGACCACTCTGTCCCAGGTCCAGCTTCTGTTGGAGCCGGGCACTTGGATGGTGTCCAAGTGCCCGGCTCCAACAACGGCTACCCTGGATGAATCCCGATTCATCCAGAGTAAAGGGATTTGCTCGGTTTTGCTGTGGGGCTTCTCAGTTCTCATTTTTGTCTCCCGTTCGAGTTGAACCTGGCACCTCGCGTGTAAGCACGCCTTACCCGGGTCGTGGTGGCCCGTCTGCTTCTCTTAAGTCTTCGGGTGCTGGCCTACCTCGATGACTGGCTGGTCTGGGCTCCCAGCCAGTCTGTGTCTGCTCCCCAGGAATCTGGTTCTTTCCCAGCTCGCCGGGTTCGGGTTCCTGGTGAACTGGCAGAAGTCCCGTCTAGTTCCTTCTCAGGAGAGAGCCAGTCGGCCGAGCGGACAGCACGCTGGACTTGTGATCCTGTGGTCCCGGGTTCGATCCCGGGCGCCGGCGAGAAACAATGGGCAGAGTTTCTTTCGCCCTATGCCCCTGTTACCTAGCAGTAAAATAGGTACCTGGGTGTTAGTCAGCTGTCACGGGCTGCTTCCTGGGGGTGGAGGCCTGGTCGAGGACCGGGCCACGGGGACACTAAAGCCCCGAAATCATCTCAAGATAACCTCAAGATAAGATGGTCCGGTAGGCAAGAACTCCATGCATTGGTTGATGCCAGAAAGATATACATATCCATTCAGCCAGGATAGCTCCGGGGAGCCTCCGAAATTCACCCAGAAAATGGTGTTTCATTACATTCAATGCTGTTTTTTTTTTTTTTTTTTTTTAATTCAGTGCATGTATTTTTATCTTGTTAATGAGACCACAGGTGGTTAATGTTTTTTTCACCACTGAGCATCTTAATTCAGTATGCAGCTCCATGGACAATAATTCATAGACATACCTATGTCTGGCCTCACTTAAGCTGTTGAGTAAAGTCACCGATATCTTGCTCCTTGAGATAAACTATTAGTGCTGAAATCAAATTTAGGAGAAATAATATCTTTATGGAAAAACAGGTTATATTTATAGATGATTATGTATGAGATTACACCGCATGTTCCCTTGGCACCAGTGACCAGAGACAGTGACTTTATCCTAAGCATCCCTTTATTTATCTAGTTCATAAATTACTACAGAGATGGATGTTATGTAAATGCATGACATACATCATGCTTATTATTCTTGACAAAATATCTTTTGCATTATACTTTTAACTTGTTACTTTGTCTAGTCCTTAGTTTGGTAACTGATTATATTTACATTCTTAAACTTAATTGTAAAATTTTTCTAATTGCTTTCATTCATATTATCCTTTAACTCTGACTCATAACTTTAAAAATTTTAATTGAAGGTTAAGAAGAGAATATGGAATGATATTCCATATTCCCAAATTCAGCTAATCTTTTTATATTTCAGTTTTTAAATGCAATGGCCAAGGAAGAATTAATCCAAGTGAAAGAGTTCCCTAAGGGCATTGAAAATATTACAGCAATTAACTGGGCACATGAAGACATAAAGTCATTTATTGTTGATCAGGTTCGTGCCTTCAGTGTTCAGAAGTCTATAGTACAGTCTATTTATTACATTACATTCTATTACAGTCATTACTCTATAATGCTTATGGTATAATGGCTCATTACTGAGCCATTACAGTCTGTAAGAACTTTCGTATAATAAAAAAAATAAAAAATATAATAAAAAAATATACAGTATATATATTTTATAACTAATGGAATATAAAATATCTTCTGTTTGAATATGTGTTATTCATTGGAATAAATAGAGTATGTTATATCAAATGTGATTTGTGCGCATGATGATTTAGCAAAAATTATGATTACTGTATATATGTAGATTAGTTGATAGCTTTGCTGACATATGGTACGTAAAAGAAGACGGATAGTTATAATGTATGTACACAAAAATAAGTAGTGATGGAGAAAACAAGTAAGTGTGTGAAACGGAAGAGTACAGTATAGAAGTCCTAAAATGAAACAGTTTAAATACCTGGGATCTGCACTAGACAAGAGGGTAATTTTTTGAAATGTTGTGTAATGGCAAGTCAGGGAATGAAAGTGATGAGTGCAATGAATTCCTTGTATTGTAAGATTAAGACAGAAATAGATGCAGTTGAATTATTAAGTGATGCTACAACATTTAGTAAGGAAGATAATGGTGAATGGATTGGTGTCTTTTTTTTTTAATTTCTTTAACTAACTTTTCCTATATTACTTGAGTGTCTTTCAGGCTGATGCCTCCCTACACCATGGAAGTGATGAAGATGGTGATGGTGATAAGTGATGCTGGTGATAATGATGACAGAGCAAATTGAGCATCAAAGGATGTATATTATGTGTTGATTTATGTATTGCCTTTCCAGGAGGAAACGAGCATTAAACCCGAGGCCAATAAAAAAGATAATTCGCGAACATTCACACCACCTCTCATAGAGGAAGTTCATCAGGTGTCTGGAGATACATTGCATTTTTTTAAAGCAAATGGTCTTAG